CGCGCGCGTGGGTGTATGGAAACCAAATTTCAATGGAAACTAAATAAGCAGTTTGAAAAATATGGGCAATATGTTCGTCCAAAAATGACCTTTCGCTAGGTTAGGTTAGGTTAGGTTATTCGCCCAAATATTTTAAATCTACTTTCCTTTTTTGCCCAATAATATTATATAGCACTTTTCAACCACATTTTTTTAAAACACACTTTGGGTAACACTTACTTTAAATTATTTATGTCTAACATAATAATAATAGATTTGTCATATTTAAATTATTTATTTGTGTAAATTAGTTTTATAAAGCCATTTAGCATTACCCAGAGAGCAACACGAGAAGGTGGCTTCTATTACTCTCCAAAAATGTAATGTGTTTTTGTACATTAATGTAATTTTTATATAATATATGTAAGTTCTTATCAAAAATATAAATCGTCAAAATATTATTATTATTTATTAGTATTGTAGCATTAAATAGAATAGTTAAATGACATTGATTTAATAAAATCATACCATTAATTGATCCTGCTTAATATTGTTGTATTTTTTCCTGATTTTTTAGCTGTCGATCTATATTTTTTTTTATCTTTGGGACACATTTGTAAATTAATATTATTTAATTTTATGTAGACCTCGGTTTGAATTTTATTTATAACACTTATTGGTGGAGAATGATTAAAACTTTTGTTAAAAAAAGAATGAAAAGATTCATACGCGTTGGTTGTTCTTATTAATTCTGACGTATTAAATGCCCAAATACTCATTGGAAATAAACAACCTTCAGATATGTAAGTATCGGTTAAATAGTCATAGTAGTTTGTTAATTTATCATTTACTGGACAATCAGATAATAGATCTTCAACAAAACAATTTGATACTTCATCTGGATTTAAAAATACCAAACCAAATGTATACTGTATCCACTTACCAATTTCTGAAGACTCATCTTTATAGAAAGAAGATAAACCACACTTTTGAATACTTCTCCGCCATGATTGAGTTAAGTGAAATCGGCATCCTATTACTATTATATTCAGCCAGATATTTTCTATAGCTTTATGAATTGTTAATTCAAAATCAACGGTAACTTTTTTGGGTGAGAACAGAAAACCAAGTGTATTACATTTTTCAACAATCATAATAAACACAAAGTCATAAGTTTTGACCGATTTATCAATGAGCAAACAAAATAATAATGGAAATATAATGGAATATAATGGAATATAATGTCCGTTTTTAAATCTACTGAGATAGATATTTCTAGACGACGGACCATTGTAGAAATTATATACATATAGTTTCCAAATATTATAAAAATAAGATTAAGATATTGTAGATATATGATGTAGATATAGTGTTTACCAAAGTGTGTATTATAAAAATATGGTCGAAGAGTATAATATTCTTGAGCGTAAAGAGTACCGCCCGAAAATCTATACCATGTATGTTATATATAACGAAATGCATATTATACAGCCCAACACCTTTCTAAATTTGCAACATACACGTTTACTGGAAGATAAATACACATCTGTAATTAGAGCCGTACCGCGCCATTTTTTATCTTGAGGCAAAACTGAAGCAATACACCCCCTAGGTTGTAGAGTTGTCATACTCACAGCTTTTAATATGTATAATACGATTTGGAAGAATCTGAAAAATTGTAATTAGGTTTCTAGCAAAACAAGAATAACATTTTTTAGCCATAAGTATATAATTATTAATTATCTTCAACTTATGTTATGGTAAGCAAATAAATATAAATTATTATATGTTTGGAAACAATATTTAATAAAATAATAAAAATAAATAAAAATATAATAAAATAATTTAAAACAATTATTATTTATGATTGAATTTTTGTGTCAGCAAATATAATGTAGACATCAAGCAGATACCGATCGATCGTCGATTAAACGGAAAATAGTCATAAATATAATATATATAGTATTAATAACAAAATATAAAATTATAATAATAATAATAATAAATACTAAAAATAATTCAATAATTGTAAAGTAATAAACGAGTAATCAACAAAGAAATACATTTTATATTGAAAATATAATATTACGTTTACGGATCGGTGAGTAGTAATGAAAAATATTTAAATATTATACTGTCAATTATACAGTACTATACGATAATTAATACTTTTTCTTAAGTTAATCGTTTAATATTTTTGCGCCCCCCAACTTCAGCCGCCCAAGGCAAGTGCCTCGCTGGTCTCACCCTAGTTACGGCTCTGTGTGTAATATATTTTGTTCGTACGCCGTGATGTTTAGAAATAATAATACGTACATCGGGTGTTATTGGACATTATTGGAACGCGATGGGATGCGTAAATAATAAATATCATTTAAATACACCGATAACTGGCGCACGGCCTCGGTATTTACTTAAGCGTACACGCGCGTATACGCACGAACATCATCGTCTGCGATGTTCGACTTAAAGGTAATCGTTTGTTCGTACGCACGCGAAACATGAGGGGATTGTCAAAGTTTAATTTCTCCGGGGGTGCCCCTGTCCGCCAGCCGGCCTTGTGCACATGTAATGCCTCGACGACTGTTATTCGGGTGCATTGGGCGGACGTGTATAAAATACGTGCATATGATGTATAAATACGGATGGCGGAATGATATCAAACTCGGATTATACTTGTAGCTGTCAAACATTGCATGCGTATCGAGGGATGGTTTCCGGTAATTGCATGTTATTAGGCCTTCGAGACAAAACTTATTGACAAAACAGCGCATTCATTTAAAACACTTTTATATTTCCGGATGAATTTTCATAGTTCTCCGAAGACAATAATAATATAACACCGTCACCGCCGTCTCGCGAACGCGTTCGGCGCGCAAACAACAACTGTACCTACTGCATGTATGTACTACAACACGCATATTGGATACATAATAAATCAGTGTCTGCAGTGGCGTATTCAATGTTTTTTTGTTTTTTTTTTTTTGTTCTATTCTCGTAGAGACCACTTGCCAAAAAACATATTATTCTCGCCATAATCTAAAATGTAAAATAATTACTACTACGGATTCATAGCAAATATATGTACGACTACAATTAAACTTTTCGCAAACAAGTTATATTTTCTCATTTTGTATAGCACAGTGAAAAATTCGCAAAACGAAAAATGATACTAGTTCAAATGTATAATTAAATAATTTATATCACCAATAAGAGCTTAAAATTAAAACAAACTAGGCAAAAACAAAGGAACAGAAAAAAAATCCAAAATGGAAATTATAAAATAAGTAACCTCAGTATAATTTTTGTTCGAGGGAAATTATTTACTAACACCAATGTTCCCTTTCCACAACTAACTCCGTTAAAAATATTTTTAAATATGTAATATATTTATATCACACGAAACGCTTTTGAGCTATTGATCAATTTTAATATTATAGGCACTTCTACGGTTATACCCAAAACATACAGTTTGAAACAAATTATAGTTTATTAATTTCTTTAAATTTATTTTTTTAATATATAAGCAGTGCAATTTATGCAAACCAATTAATCGGTCAAGTTTTTTTTATTGCTAAAATATTAACTTCATTCAAGATTTTAATTTTCAGATTCTAGAATTATCTTATCTACCAACAACAATTTTCGAACGTCACATTAAACGTTAAAATAGTTGTTAATTTATATTCCCCCATTTTCAAAGAAAAACAATCAAGATTGTACGGTATTATAATTGTAAAACTGTGTTAAGGGGATTGCAAGCTATGATTTTCTTTCTCTTTCTATCACACGCGTAATACCTATAGGGATTTAGATGTTTTCTACTTCCAACGTACCGATTGTACGTATCTATTGATGCTATTAAATTATCTATTGATGAAGACTTTACGATGAATTCATATCAGTTTTCAAAATCCTTACCGTCTTAATAGATCAATCGGTTAAAATAGGAAAAGTCTAAATCCCTATATTGCGCGTGTGATAGAAAGAGAAAGAAAATCATGGTTTGTAATCCCCTTAAACTAATATACAATATATTAATAATAGTTAATATAGTATTGTAAGAATATTAATAACTTTCCGTTTGCCGATTTTCAAAATCGACATCACTCCAATCTTACATAACACTTTCGATTCGGAAGAAAATGAAATTATTGTAAGGATTATAGTGCCATGAGGAGCGGGTGCCCGCGATGAGAACATTATAATTTACAGCCCGGTCAAATTACATGAAAGAAAGAGAAAATAGAAAATTAAAAAAATATTAAATAAATAACGTGAAAAGAAGGGTGTATGTTCACTCCTAACCTAAATTAAGTAGAATTATGTGCGAGTGGGGAGGCTACGGGTCGGGCAACTGTTGTAGGGGCAGCCAGTTACGGTGGGAAGGCAACGGGGAGGGTTAGACCGGGAGAGTGATCGGGGGTAGTGGTGGTGGTGGTGGTAGTGGAGGTGGTGGTGTAACGACGACGGAGGGTATTATAAAGGAGCACGTAAGCATGCAAACTTCTATAGGTGCACCGCTACCTTTCGCTCAGGTAAGTTCGCTTTCATTGGTCTACAACAGGAGACATGCAAATCCCGAGAACGTTGGTACACATTATTCGTAAACGTATACGATATTGTTTATAATCGCCCAGAGTGCCAGTTACGGAGCAACTCCGGGCGACCGCTGTGACAAAACGCACTCGGAACCCATAACACATACGGTTCGTTATTAATAACCGTGCGTATTATCTACAGTTTTTCCGTTCGGGTCACGTTTGCATACTCCGAAACACAACGTGGTACTCGCAATACCGTCATTGCCTAAATCATCAATACCATCGTCATATCTAACGACGTGCGACAACTATGTTTTCCCGAACAGTCCTCCGGCCGGTCGGTACACGCGTGTTCGTCAAAAAGTTTCGCGTCGATTTCCTGTTTCGTTGAACGCGGGCGCGCGTATTCGTTCGTGTTTCACTTCGTTTTGACCGTGTATAGGGATGTGAACCATTAAAGGACTATCGGCACACGCGATGATCGGTGGATCTGGGAAAAGAGGCTCGGCGGCCAGCAGCAGTAAGCCGCCGTCGTCCACAGCCACGGCTGTGACCGCGGCCGAAGACAAAGCGTCTGCGGCCAGCGGGGTCTCGAAGGGTGACGACAAAAAAGACGAGGCAAAAGGTAATACTCGTAGATTAAGGATATATATACAGGAATATCAGGAATAGCTGATATATCTAGAACGCCTTGGAGATTCTAACGTCTCGTTTCAGTAATATATTCCCGCCTGTCGTCCTATCGAAAGAAGCCGGAATAGTTTCTGAAAAATGTACGCGACGAATAAAACGCCAGTAAAACACTCACATGTCATGCACATATAACTCTTGATAAAATTAAACGTACTTCAACTATAATCTATTTAGATTGTTCACGTTATAATAATTCAAACTATTCATTATTACATTGTTTTGATTCGATTAATTTAACTGAAATAAAAACAATAATATTCTTTTTCTTTTTTTTACTTTCGTGACTTCGACCTTCAAGACCATGTCATTCAACAGATTTGTCTCCAAATGTTCCTATTTATTGTTAACTCCTTACAATAATATTATCTATATTAAAAATGTATACAAATATATTTGCAGTTGAAAATATTTAAAGTACTATAATATGAATCAAATTCAATGATTACAATAAAGTATTTGTAATTTTTTCAAACTACGGTTATTAATAATTAGAAAAAAATCTGTATATTCAAGCAATCGACCATTAATTAATTTAAATAACTTTGAGTGATTTATTATATATTATCACATACTTGGAAACTTAATTTTCAATTTTGAGGCATAAGAAGTAAGCTTTATACCAACATGCCTGAAGAAATAAGAGTAAGCTAAGAATTGATAGGCAAAAGAAATCATAAATACATTCACCAAGTTTGAAAACATTTCACAGGAATATTAAATAGTGTTGCAGGGAATATTTTTCATTATAAAAATATGTTCACATATTCTCTATATAGCTGATGCAACAGTTAATAGACATTACATATTCATACTGTTAATAAATTTCTATAATAAATTTAAAAGTGCAAAAAAAAAACCCATCTAAAGTTTCTTTATTTAAGTAAAAATACCAAGGTTTTTTAATTTTAATAATTTTCTTGTAAGTAAACTTAATCATAATTCATATTATTTGATAAATTCTGTAGTTTTTGGTTTATTTATATATATTGCTAAAAATCATTGATCATTATTTGATTAATCGATTTATAAATATCAAAGTGTTTTGTTCGATAAAATGCTTCTTATTTTTATATCAATAGATAATAAATTACTTACAATTAAATATTAAAATTTAATAATATTTTAATCAATGTTAGAAAATATTACCTATGAAACGCTTATACTTTTTACCTAGATTTAACGAATAACTAAAATCAACGTTTTCAACATAATCATCAATTTATATGCGGTGAAACATATAGTGATTATTATAATTACAGCTAATTACTATTTACATTTATGTTCTGTATAAAATTAACTTTTTACCTATAGACAGAAATTATTTATGTAAACTAATTTCTTTTCAACAAATTGTTTAATTTGTTTAATGTAATTTATATTATTAATAGCTTATTTTTCAACTAAACTGTACCTATTCCGCCAAATGGATTGATAATCAACTTATTAAGTTTGGTTCAACAGATAAATACAAACAAAATATAACATGATATATAAACTTTATAGTTCATTTATATGAATAATATATTTGTTTTAATAAAAAAAAAATATATTTTAAGTCGAATCATTACGTTACCTAATTGCTTTAATGAATTTCACTAGGTGATTATTATGCATATTCGATATTTTTTTTAGATGGGGTGGTTCCTATAACTCTACCAAGTCCAGGTTCGTCTATCAGAGACGGAGCCCAACGAATTTTACAACTGAGCCAAAAATCGGAATGGCCACCATTAGACCAGGCTTTAAAGGTGGTCGAAAAACTGGTGTCTACCGGTGGCGAAGATGTGACGTCAACACCATTAGCCGGTGTTGTGGATCAGGTAAAATTTGAATTTGCTTAATTTTTTATTGAACCCATTTACATTTTAATTGTATCCATGATGCGCAAATATTTTGTTATGGTTGAAAAACCAGGGGTTGATGTCCATTCCAAAATATGCGTGGACGTTGGAAAACTAGCACAACCGGAAAAGCGTCATGGTCCGCCGACACGCGATTTACCGTTAAGGGCACAACTTGAACTTAACACATACATTACATGATTAAAGTAAATTGTCAAAATTGAGCTAAAAATGGTTAATAAGAACAATTTATTTGACCTCAAAATGATGAGATTTTAAATATAATATGAAATAATATTTTATAGTTCAACTAAAATATAGAGAATAATTATTTATAATGATACGTTTTAATTAAGCCCGCATAACTTTGCAATAAATCGACTTTCCACCAAAAAGTTTTCAATATATTTCCCAATAGTCGACTTCTTATTGAAACCCGTGTTTAGTTTTACTATATAGGCATTTGTCAAATTAAAAAACCGTTTTCGAAAAAAAAGTTTCTTATTTATTGTATCAGCCATAAAACTTGTAATATCGATTAAATTCTATAATTTTCTAGAGGAAGTACAAGATAATTCCTGGAAGTATATCATGAAATTCTTAATAGCTGTTTGATAATTTGTAAACACAATTCAAATATAAAACTAAAGATATATCAACTGACTTATATTCATATAAAATCAATTATTGAATAACCTCTATATTTTCTTTAGTAGGTACATATAAGATACAACATTTTGAATATTTTAAATATGTTGTACTCAAGTACAACATTTTAAATTAATATGTTTATGTCCAACATACAAATAATGTTTTATATACAAAAAAAAAAAACAACTTGTGAAACAATTTGTGATACAACCGTGTAAATCATATCATAAATGTAGTATGTATCTATTACAAGCGTAGAATTAATCAAAAAGTACGTTATTATTATTGAATAGACATAGTTCGATCAAAAACAATCTCTTAAATCAAAAATATAAATATAATACACGAAAATGTTACTACAATATTTATGTATTTTATATTATGTAGAGCAATGGCATGACACCTTTAATGTATGCAGTTAAAGAAAGCAAAACTACTTTCCTAGAACGTTTGATAGATCTAGGAAGTGATGTTACGATCAGAAATAATGTAAGTACTACATTTATAATATTCATACCGATAACTTTATTATTTAGTGATTCATTTTAAGTAATCGTATAAACGTTGGAGGAACTTTTAACAAAAATATTTGTACTCAAGTTTCACTAGAACTAAATAGACAACTCACGAAAAAGAGTTATTATACTAAGCACAACTTATCATCAGGTTGCAAATTTATTAAGGTTAAAGATAGTAGTTGTTTTTTTTTTTTTATAAATATATTCCGGTCACGCAAAATTACTTGATCGTTTGTCTTCCCTAAATATGACTTGTGTTCTACCGATCTACGCCCCTATTCATTTGGATAATTAGAATATAATGTTGAAGTAATTTTCAGGAAAATTTTAATGCGTTGCATTTGGCTGCTACGTACTCCAGAGAAGACGTGATAAAAGTTCTATTGCCGAAAAAAGGCGTGGACGTTTACTGCCCAGGAGGAGTATGTGATAATTGTTTAAATTTTAAAATTATTCAATATACATATAAATATTGTTAACTATTAATTGTTTGAGCTCACCAATGATTTGTGTGTTTAAAGCCAAAACAACAAACGGCTGTACACATGGTGGCAAGCAGACAGACGGGTACAGCGACGAGCATACTTCGAGTTCTTCTAGGGTCTTGCGGAAAAGATATTCGCACCATTGCCGATGGGGTCAGTTGGTTTACGTATTATTATTGAGTCTTGGCTATTGTAGCGCAGTAGCGGATTCACGGGAAAGGGAGGATCAACCCCTCCAAAATCAGGAAAAATATATATTAAAAATCAATAATTTTATGAATTAAGAAAAGTATTATTTTTTTTTTAAATATGAAAGAAAGAATATAATTTGTATTTTTATTCATACAAGAAATCAGTAGTCTTAGATCTAAATTAATGTATTATATTACTTATTATTATCTTAATTCATTATCAACCACTGACTGCAATGTTATAAAAAATATCGCATTTTTTAAATCCCCTCCCCCCCCCAAAGAAAATCCTAGATCCAACACTGTTGTAGCAAAACATCCGACGGGCACACTTAATTTTTTTCACAATTCATTCCGTACAGGACGGGAAAATCCCACTTCTGTTGGCCGTGGAAACCGGTAACCAATCTATGTGCCGAGAACTACTGTCGACCCAAGCTGTTGAACAGCTGAAGTACAAAACTAAATCCGGTGACATGGCTATCCATTTAGCTGCCAAACGAAAAGATATGGACATGATAAAAATATTAATTGACTACGGTGCTAGTGTTGATAGTCAAAACGTAGGTATCAGTTAAAATACCGTTCGTTCTCGTTCACGCGTACTTGCTTAACTCGATTGTTGAACAACAGGGCCAAGGGCAAACAGCTCTTCATATTGCTTCAGCCGACGGAGACGAAGCTTTGGTTAAATATTTTTATGGTGCTCGAGCCAACGCTTCTATAACGGATAATCAAGGTACATACTATTATATTATCTTGTGTCGCATGCATAGCTGTTATTAATATACCTATGCTGTGGAGGGGAAAAGGTGAATTGTTTAACGCCAGTGCTGTCCTCTAGTCTCGATTCACAAATATAAAAATTGAAAAGGCATGATCGAACCGTTGTCAGTGATTATCAATGCAAATAATTTTAAACTATGATGGCATTTTATTGTCAATGAGTTTTCTTCGGAAACAGCGCGAGTTTTAATTCTATAAGAATTATTTTTGACGAATTATTATAATCACATTGTACGTTGTTGTTTAGACCGAACTCCGATGCATTTGGCTGCCGAAAATGGACATGCTAATATCATTGAGTTATTGGTGGATAAGTTTAAAGCTTCGATATTCGAGAGGACTAAAGACGGTAGTACTCTAATGCATATAGCATCATTGAACGGCCACGCGGATTGTGCGATGATGTTGTTTAAAAAGGGGGTGTACTTGCACATGCCAAATAAAAGTGGCGCTAGAAGTATACACACAGCAGCCAGATACGGGCATGTCGGAATTATCAATACGTTGCTGCAAAAAGGGGAAAAAGTCGACGTCACAACAAATGTGAGTAAACCGGTCTATTGTAATTTCTAACGAGTGATTTGATACATTTGATTTTTAGGACAATTACACTCCTTTGCACATAGCAGTGGAATCCGTTAAACCAGCTGTAATAGAAACTCTATTGGGATACGGAGCTGATGTACACGTAAGAGGTTAGTTAAGTACGTCATCTATGTAGATAGTATACTGTCTTCTGCAGATTTCAATGCGTTTACCAATCCGTTATAACTCCTCAGGCGGAAAACTGCGTGAGACTCCGCTTCACATAGCCGCCAGAGTAAAAGATGGCGATCGCTGTGCTCTCATGCTGCTCAAGTCCGGAGCCGGTCCAAATCTAGCCACGGATGACGGACAAACCCCTGTGCACGTGGCTGCCCAGCACGGAAACCTCATAACACTTCAGTTATTACTGGACGACGGTGGAGATCCTCTTTTCAAAAACAATGTATAATATTATTCGCAAACCCATTACTTGTGACTATAGATCGTTTTAAAATGTACAACTGAAACAGGTGGGAGAAACTCCGTTGCATTTGGCATGCAGAAGTTGTCAAGCAGATATCGTCGGACAACTAATAGATTTTGTCAAATCCAAACAAGGAGATGAAGTAGCCAATTCTTATGTAAATAATGTTAACGAAGACGGTGCTTCTGCTCTACATTATGCTGCCAACATAAAAAAATCCGAAGTCAATGTATCAAAACCAAATCATGATGCTAAAGTTATAAAATTACTTTTTGAAGGTGGAGCTGACATAAATTTACGGACAAAACTGGTGAATTTTATTTTCGTTTCCTCATCTATAACTACGTGAATAGTAATTCCATACACGACAATAATTTTTAAATATTGTGTGCAGTAAATATAATAAATTTTATTAACTTGTAAAAAGATTGATCAAATCTAATTAATTTTATAGTAAATAAATATACCATTGCATTCGTATGTAGTTTTTGCAGTTATATTTTACATTTATATTAAAATTAGGATGTTAATTGATCTTCAATAAAATTATTTTAAACGTTCAACTATTGGATTAGCTATTCACAAGCATAATTTAAACAGTCAAATTATACACGAAAACATAAAATGTTAATAACAATTGTTGTCATAATATTATTACTTCAAATATTGACAGGATTATTATTGTTTATTTTTTTAAATAAAAATATAACAAAATAAATATTTCACGTTCTATTATGAGTTTTGTTGTTTCGATGGCATTATACGATTTTATCATTACAGCATCATGAAACAGCTTTACACTTTTGTGCTGTAGCTGGAAACAACGATGTACTTACAGCAATTCTAGATGGAATGTCACCATCTGAAGTGCAACAGTCGATGAACCGTCAATCCAGTGTCGGTTGGACTCCTTTATTAATCGCTTGCCATAGAGGCCATATGAGTTTAGTGAACACTATGCTGAATAACCACGCAAGGGTAGACGTGTTCGATAACGAAGGTCGGTCTGCTCTGCATTTAGCCGCTGAAAGGGGATATTTGAAAGTGGGTGTATAGATTAACAACAATAATTATTAATCGATTACAGTATAAAAATCAATTATCTGTGTTAGGTATGCGATGCGCTGCTGACACATAAAGCATTCATAAACAGTAAATCGAGAGTCGGCTGGACGGCACTGCATCTAGCAGCTATGAACGGCTTTGCCGATCTTTGCAGGTAAACATTCAGCGTTATGATATTGAGCTGTTCGCTGTACTAAACGTTCGGAACGAATATTTTATAATTATTATTTTTTTATCCGTTTTTAAGATTTTTGATCCACGACCACAACGCAGTAATCGACATCCTCACCCTAAGAAAACAAACACCTCTACACTTGGCCGCGTCGGCGGGCCAACTGGAGGTGTGTCGACTGCTTTTGGATTTGGGGGCAAACATAGATGCGACCGACGATCAAGGACAAAAACCAATTCACGTCGCAGCGCAGAATAATTTCCCAGAAGTGACGCAGCTGTTCTTGCAACAGCATCCACAATTGGTCTTGGCCAGCACTAAGGTAAACATTTTCGGCGGTTCGATAGGAGAAAAAAAAATAATAAGCTAATAATAATAATATTAATTATCGGTAAAACGCGTGTTAGGACGGAAACACGTGCGCCCACATAGCAGCGATGCAAGGATCGGTCACCGTGATCGTTGAACTAATGAAGTTCGATAAGAACGGCGTGATCTCGGCTAGAAACCGCATTACGGAGGCCACACCGCTTCAGTTAGCTGCCGAGGGTGGCCACGCTCAAGTGGTTAAGGTTCTGGTCAGAGCAGGTGCATCGTGTTCGGATGAAAACAAGGTATTTGTAACGTGCAAGACACAATTCATACAAAGTACTAATTCCGATATGGGGTTGTTTTTTTTTTTTTTGTTTGTTTTTTCGTTTTGTACACACATAACGCGAACGACACGACGTTTTTAGGCAGGGTTCACGGCTGTTCACTTAGCGGCGCAGAATGGCCATTTGTCCGTGCTGGAGGTGTTGCGTTCGTCCCAATCGCTAAAGATATCTAGCAAGAGGCTCGGTATGACGGCACTTCACATGGCCGCGTACTGCGGTCAAACAGGTATGCCCACTGCCCTATCCCGGGAACGGAGTACTGGTAAACGTGATTACACAACATATGACGATCGTCGCTCGTTGCAGACACCGTTCGGGAACTGCTGTCCCACATACCGGCGACCGTGAAATCCGACCCGCCGTCCGGGGTGAGCGTGCTGGGTGTGCTCGGCAACGAGTCCGGTATGACACCGTTGCATTTTGCCGCCTACAGCGGCAACGAGAACGTGGTGCGGCTGCTGCTCAACTCTGCCGGGGTCCAGGTGGACGCGTCGACGGCCGAAAACGTAAGTTGATGTAACCGTCGGTGTCCTCTTCGGGTCTGCGGGGACTAACAGCTTTGACGAGGGTTCACAACGTTACAGGGCTACAATGCGCTTCACCTGGCGTGTTTCGGCGGCCACGTAACCGTAGTCGGGCTACTGTTGTCCAGAGCGGCCGACCTGCTGCACAGCGCTGACCTCAATGGCAAAACGTGTCTGCACATCGCCGCCACGTACGGCCATTACGCTATGGTGGAAGTGTTGCTCGGACAGGGCGCCGAGATCAACGCGACGGACAAGGTTCGGACAACGTTTTTGTTTTGACGTGCGCGATCGGTACACGCGTACGAGCGCAAAAATAATAATAATAATAACAACAATAATATAAAATAGTAATAATAATAATAATTCGTTTGCACGCGTTTCGTTCCGCACCGCGAAAACGAACAACGCAGAACGGATGGACTGCGATGCATTGCGCCGCCCGTGCCGGGTACTTGGACGTGGTAAAACTGCTGGTCGAGTCCGGCGCTTCTCCCAAAGCGGAAACCAACTACGGAGCGTCGCCGATATGGTTTGCCGCGCAAGAAGGTCATAACGACGTGTTGGAGTACCTGATGACCAAGGAGCACGACACGTACGGATTGATGGACGATAGACGGGTGCGACGCTGAAGCTTGACGATGAGCTTTTGCGCGAAACGAACTAATGAACGGTTTCTGTTTTTAGTTCGTCTACAATCTAATGATTTGCAGCAAAAACCATAATAACAAACCAATCGAAGAATTTATCTTAGTGTCGCCTGCACCTGTAGATACTGCAGCAAAACTTTCCAGTATATTTATTAACCTATCAAATAAGGTATAATGTAATTCAAATTGAATTGTATGTATAATAATTTCTGCATGAACTGTGCTCCGATGCAGTGGCGTATAAAGGTTCGCTAGCGCTCCTGGCAAACTTAAAAAAACGCTTTTTAACCAATTAAAATTTGATGTAATGATATTTTTTTTAACCTTTTATTTTACTAATTTTTTTTAAGTATGTAGTTTATATTTATAATTTATTATTACGGTGTAAATTTTAAACTTTGAAAATTTGCTTTTCTCGCTTTATGACAGGCAAATTCATCGATAATTTCTTCATATGACATTTTTTTATTTTAATACCCTTATGCTATTTTCATAATTTCATCATTCAATTCACACGTAGTGTGTACAAGTATACAACATCTACGTATTTCAAAAAATATAATGGAAACATTTCTATTTGATTGTAAGATAAAAATACGATTTCTGCACAATTTTACACCCCTTTGCAATTTGCACCCCTGGTGTAGGCACAGAGCTGAGACACGATTGAGCATAAAACACCTTTTTTGCGACACGATTAAGCATAAATTGTCGGCGTATCAAAGAAAATTGAAATACAAAAGAAAATCAACATGGTTGAGCATAAAAAACTCTGCAACGTTGCCATTTTCAATTTTGAACTGTATTATAGGTACAAAAATATTTATTTAAATAATTATAATAATTCAATGTATAACATGGCAAAAAAATATTATATTTTCATAGTCAATAACTGTTGTCCATGTATTCTATTCTGAGAGAAGGTTCACCAACAATCTACTAACAAATTATTATATTTTAGTAAAAAAGTACTATATTATATAATTATTTCTTACTTTTCTCCGCCATGATTGTCCTAAATGAAATCTACATCCAATTATTTTAATATATCCAAACACGTCTGTTATTGCCTGATGAGCTCCAATTTCAAAATCAACATGAAATGTGTTTATTTGCAAATAACGAACGAACACTGATATTATTTCTATAATAATTTTGGAATTGTATCTTAATTATCTTATATTTTCCCCGATGCTAAATGTTTAAAAAGTCGTTTTGCTCCGAAACTAATTTATTAATCGATAACATTGTCGATAAAGCTGAGGGGCTCGGCTCACGGCTCGCGTCAGATATCATAATAATTGGTGTAATAATAAGTGAAAATAATAAATTACAAAATGTTGGCAACGTGAATGTGACAACATCGCATAAAATATTCTATGCTCAATCGTGTTGTTAAAAAGGTCTATGCTCAATCGTGCTTTTCCGAGGCATAGTTCGCCATACCCTTACTACGTTACTGCTCCAATGTAATCGATGTATACTAATTAAAATTGAAAACCAAGTCGGTATATTCCAAATAAATTATTACTAAATAACTTTTGAATAGAGTAAAATAAAATTTAACCAAACTTAATATGGAAAATAATAATTAAATTCATCTAAATATAATAGTTTTATTATTTCTTATGGCAATGAATAATAGTCAATAACATAGTAAATTTATCATTTAATATTTACCTAATTTTTTAGTTATTCTAAATATTTTTTTGACTAGAAAGTCTGAAGTAATCAAGTATACGTAACTATTACATCATAATACATACCTATTTTATTCAACAAATAATTAATTCAAAATAAATATAATAGGTTTATATTAAGTAGGTATTTAGTATTTTATTTTTAAAACGAATATTGTACAATGATCAGGAAAAAGAGAGAGCAAAAGACTTAATAGCTGCAGGAAAACAATGCGAAGCTATGGCTACTGAACTTTTGGCATTAGCTGCTGGTCAAGATTCAGCTGGTCGGATTCTAACTGCTTCAGATCGACGAAATACTGAATTTTTAGACGTCCTTATTGAAAACGAGCAAAAAGAAGTTATAGCTCATACTGTCGTACAAAGGTATCTACAGGTTAGTCATTATTTATTGTTAAATACCGATTAATATATGATTTAATTTAATGTAATCAAATTTAGGAACTTTGGCAAGGAAGACTGAATTGGGCCGGTTGGAAAACACTACTTATGTTCTTAGGGTTTATTGCTTGTCCTCCGTTATGGATAGTATTTACGTTACCGCTATGGCATACGTACAGTAAAGTTCCAATTATTAAGTTTATGTCATATTTGACATCACACGTTTACTTAATGCTTCTATTGCAAATGGTCGCTATCACTCCGTATCATAAAGCGGCACGATCAACCTTATCTCCCTATTGGTACGAATGGTTACTTTTGGTAAGTCGTCAATAAATATGTATAAAATTGGTCCTAAATAATGCGTACCAATTATATTAAAAAAATATTTATTACTTAAAACAAATAATTCACAAACAGCTAATAAGAGTATTAGTAATAGCTTGGTGATAGGTAAGCCATCTTCATGTTGTATATAAATTAAAATCAAATATTAATACAAACTATGTAAAATTTACATAAAAATTAATCAGAAATTATACATGTGTACAATTTTAGTTTTCATTTAAATTATTTTGTCAGAAGACAACTTCATATTGGCTAAAGCAGAAAACTTTAATTTTTACAATACTCCTGGCTGCTTATACATATTTCATATATATTTACCGTATACATTTCATTATAGATAAACGAATATTTATCAATTTTATTTTTAATTAATTTAGGTTTGGTTAAGTGGTTTGCTGCTGTTCGAACTTACTAATCCAAGTGACAAGAGCGGATTGGGCTGGGTGAAGTTAGCTGTTCTGTTATGGAGTGTCATAGGAGTGGCGTTTCATTTAGTCGGATATTTTAATCTTGTTTCCTCTCCATATCTTCCTACCGTCATATATCTGAGAAATCAGATGTTCGCTATATCGTTTTTAATGGCGTGCGTTCAAATCTTGGACTTCTTGTCGTTCCACCATTTGTTTGGACCTTGGGCTATAATAATTGGCGATTTAATGAAGGATTTAGCAAGATTCCTAGTAGTACTGAGCATTTTCGTTTTTGGTTTTTCAATGCAAATCGTAGCTATGAACCATCCCATCAAGAAAAAATTAGAAAGACAAAACTCAGAAATATTTTCAGAAGGTATAAATACATACATGCACATTTCCACTTATTAACAGACAATAAGAATAATAATAATAATAGATACAACGACTAACAAGTTATTCATTTTTTTTGTCTTTTTTCTTCTATATATAGTCTTAATGAGCCCAATAGATGCATTTGAATTACTTTTTTTCGCTGTGTTCGGTATGGCAACGCATACCGATTTAAGACAGGCCACTAATAGTGATCAACCATCGTGGACGGTTTACTTGTTCAAAGCCGTCTTTGGTATCTATATGTTAGTTTCGGTTGTCGTGCTAATTAATCTGCTCATTGCTATGATGAGTGATACTTATCAAAGAATTCAGGTAAATTTATTGCATTTACACGGGTTCTATACCGGCACACCAACACCTATAACAGCCACGTTGAACAATATTATTTTATTACACGTTTTTGTTGAAATCAGGCTCAATCTGATATTGAATGGAAGTTTGGACTGGCCAAATTGATTAGAAATATGCACAGGACAACTACGACGCCATCGCCTCTGAACTTAATTACAACTTGGTTTATGTATTTACTAGAGATATGCAAGAAAAGAGGTAAAAATAGGAGAAAGAAAAATATTCAGGAAACACTTACGAACTTTTCTAAACTGTTAAATACAGTTAAGCAAAAAAAGCGCCCAAGCTTATCACAGATGGTCGACATGAAAACGAAGGGACGAGTAAGTGCCAGGACTCGAATGGGCAATAAATGGTTATCAAAAGTGAAGAAAGCTCAAGTAGTACCGAGAGGTAACAAATAACAAAATTAAAATTCATAACAAATGTGAGTAAAACATTGTTTTAATATTGAATTATAACGTGCTATAGAGTCAACGTCAGTTAGCGTGGTGCACTTGAGCCCGTATGGATCCCAAATAAGCTTTTCCAGTTTATCGAACCGCATCGAAACTGTCACGGACTGGGATTCCATAGCGAAGAAATACCGAGCATTACAGGGTTCTAGTGAAAATGATGAAAGGGAAGACACAAAGGCGTCGAACGCTTCGATGGAACGATTAACAAGAAGCAACAGTGAAGCGCAATCAGACCCTCAACCATTAATGGCAAACAACATTAATAATTTCCCTTGAAACATTAGAATAGTGTAAATAACTTGATTATACAATTATATATAAATTCATGTACAAAGTAAACATTTATTGTTAAAAAAAAAAAATTATAATTTAATAAAACATGGGATAAATACATATGTTACTCAAACATATCAACTATCAACCTAATGTGTAAGACCATAAAAAATAAATTTATATTATTTTATAAAGTAAGTTTTTAACTTTCATAGTTAAATTTATAAGTTGAGTTATTAATTAAGCCAGTTTTTTTTCTCATTGTAATAGATGAGAGCACGTGTTAGAGGAAGTACTTTTGGAAGTTTAGTACAAATAAATACTAAATTGTGAATTCAACAATTTATAACAAAATTAAGCACCTATATGATTACATGCTAAAATTACATATCAAGTTTTCCACATATATCTGTTGTTATATGAGATTGATAAATCAATTAATATTCTAAATAAAAAAAAAATGAATAAGTATAAGTATTAAGAATTTATTTTGAATATATTTAAATAGATATAAAGATAGAGAAAAATTGGTTTATAATAATTATAACAAGACATTATAACCCTCACTATACAAGTGCCTACAGCATATACATATATAGTTGAGCAAAATAAGAAATAAATTACATTTAATAACACAAATAAATATATAATAAAATGGAATAATGGCATTGTCACCAAAAGAAACAAGTGTGAATCTATGGAAGGATATCAATTAAATTGCTCATTCTGAAATTAAAAATTATCAATTGATATACTCCTCCCAAGCATGTAACAAGTCTTACAATTTTAGAAATGTGTTAAAAGATTAACATACTTGTTGATTTTATTAATATTCTACCTTTTAGTAAAAAGAAATTTTTTTTAAAAAAATTAATGTTTTTTTTAATTATATATTGTAATGCTACTTGTGAATACATAAGAAATGATTACAACTAGCATAACTATACATCAAATTCACAGATTTTATTTTTTATTTTTTATTTTTATACAAAAACAGGCCGTGGCCCAAAGTACAGTAGTATTAGATAATATATTATAACAGTTATAAGTAATTACATAATATTATTAAAATAAGGTGGCTGAATACTCATTAGCAATGTGCATTATTCTAAATATAGGTTCATTACGGATATAATTAATGGTGCAAAGTGGTATGAAAAAAGTATAGTGTGACCGTGAATGGAAACTGGGTATTTTAAAGTTAAGTTGACTTAGCAATTCAAGACAGTTAATAGAGCCATCTATGAGTTTTTGTAAAAATATCTGGTTAGCTGTAATACGTCTGTCAATTAGGTTCGATAATCCTAGAAGGGTACAGATTGGTTCATAATTATGAGGTCTATGTTCAATATGAAGGACTCTAGCAGCATAGTTTAGGAACTTACGTTGAATCCTTTCAATTTTACTTCTACTAGTAGCTGTATAAGGGTCCCAAATAACAGTACCATATTCTAGAATTGACCTAAAAAATGCACTATACAGAGCTTTAAGTGGCGCTAAAAATTTTAATTCAATGGCAACTCTTTTTATGAGGCCAAGTGTTTTTAGAGCTTTACATCAGGTTTTTTCAATATGTTCATGAAAAGTAAGTGCCCGTTCCATTGTAATACCAAAATCACTGACAGCTGCACCTGAATGAGTGAGAAGTAGAATACACAATGTGTAACTCAATATGATTGGATTACAAATTTTTGTAAAAGGACATAAGAAGGCACTTGGTGATATTAAAATCTAGACCAATATTAGTAGCCCAAGCACTTAGTGTATCGAGATTACTCTGTAATCTATGACAATCATTTATACAACAGATTTCAAGAAATATTTTTAAATCATCGGCAAACATCAGAAAATAACTATTTCGAATAACATGTTGAAAATTGTTTATAAACAAGGAGATAAGAATTGGAGAAAAATGACCCCCTTGAGAGACACCAGATGGGATATTACTTTTACATAATATATATGATTTTTTAGGTAAGAGATAAACCAAATATTATAATATTTATTAGATATATGGTCATTGTTACTATTGTAAATATTGTAACTAATTTTATGGAAGTATACTATATAATAAACCAAAAATAAATATTCCTAGCTCTTAAAATAAAAAATATTAGGTTCTTTGAACAACACATCAATTTTTTTAAACCAATACTTTTGACTAAAATTACATTTTAGTTTAAAATAAAATAAAAAATCTATTTCATCTATGAAAAAAATATGTTGGCAATAACTAAATTTTAAATAAAATACTTTATTTGCGATATAACTTCTAACACCTAATTTTAAAAATAAAATTGATCAAAATACCAAATATAAAATTTGAAAATGTATTAATAGACTATAAACTAAATACCATTTATAGAAAAAACTTAAAACTGAAAAACAAATTTTTAAATACTTTTCTTTATTGAGTAAAAAATTTTAAATTTAGTTATATACTTAACTATAAACATTATAATCTTCTTTTCAAAAAAATAATCTACTAATTACCACTTGCACTGGTAATTCATTGGAGAGAAGTAATGGATGACGTGACAGATAAGAACTGAAAAATAAATAATGATTGCAATTGAATATTTAACAAATAATTATTTCAATAAAAAATATGACTGTAAATTAAATTTTTATCCCAAAATATGCAATGAAAATATTTTCACAGAAAATGATATACCAAAGACTGGAGTTACACAAGCGTTGGTAAATCAGACGTTGCAATTGATAAATGTCATATCATATACTAGGTTCATATTGAAAAATTTCCTGTTTGAGCACAAATATTTTATTTAATAATACTTACCAATTTAAAAATGTCTGTTTCAACATCTAATTTTAGATCATGAACCAGAAAAATTTCAACGCTTGTGAGATCCTAGCCTTATAATTACTCGTTATCACAGTTACATAATTTATATTATAAGTATAAGCTGAATAACAATAAATTATAAGCATCCATGAATTACTATATAGATTCATATCTATACAATAATAATAATTATAATTAATAAGTTTAATTAAATATAATAATAAGTTCATATATTTAATTTGTTACTGCAATTTATTTTTTTCTCAGTTTTCAATCTATCAAGACTCAACAAATCCAAAAAATTATTCCATATTTTCAATAATTATTAGAGTTTAAATAATTACTGTAAATTAATTCATTATTATTTATTTTTTAACTTTTTTTATAAATGTAAATCACTTACTTTGGTTACAGTATTAAAAGTTGAATAAACATTTTGTTGATTAATTGTGTATGGTAAAAAAATATCCAACTCATATTTTATTCGTTTTAAAGTAGTTAATAATAAACAATCTTCTCCGCATTTTAAATCAATTTCTTGTGAATTATTCTATGGAAAATAAGAAATAAATCAATTCAAGTAAAAAAAATTTAATTAACTTCATTAATTATGTTTATTTAACTACCACTTCTGGTAACCAAACATCTAATATCAATTTTTTTGGATTGTGCTCTGGCTGTATATAAATTCTGTATTCTGGTATGACATATTTCTCTAATTGAGGTGATCCTTTACAATTTAACTCTTCGATCAAAGGTTTTTTTTTTAATATTGATGGCCTAGGAGGCCTTTGTTGTATTCTATGTTGCTGCAATGACCCAAGACATTTCCTGTTCTTTAATACAATTGGATCTATACCATAAAATATCAATAGTTATATTTCTAATTAAACAAAACTATAACCAATTAATACTTTCAGAGCTTATTTTAATTTTGAACTTTTCTGCAACACCTTCAATCGTTAACGATATAATAAATGTCTGAAATAGTTCATCATTTAGACACTGATCAAAAAATTTAGAATTCACTGCCACATCGTAAACTTTAACTTTTGCACCAGCTGTAAAAATATAAATTACAGTTAAAATATGTTACTAATAATTTAATCAATTTAATTTTGTGCAATTTATAAAATGTTTACAACAATTACTAGTTATTATTTAGAATAGAAATTTGAATTTATTCAATATAATTCTCCAATAGTAATTTAAATAAAAATATATTAAAAGTTATATTAAAAAAAATGTTTAATCTTGAACATTAATCAACATTGTAATATTAATAAATAATTATATTTATTAACTAGTTTTATTTAATGTTATTAAGAGAAACCGTAACAGTATTATTATTATAACTTATTATACAATTATTTTATACTTAAAAGATTACATTTATCATTTTCTTCATGTTCTGTCCCAATACTTAATGGAACAAAGAATTTTTCTGGATCTTGAGACTCAAGAGCTTGGATTAATTCATCACGAGTTATTTCATCCGGTTGTGGAATATCAGTGTGATGACAGAGATTTATAAAAACTTTGGACTTATCATCAGTTTTAATTATTTTGATACAAATTCCTGAAATTCAATATTTTTATTAAAATGTTTAAGGTAATAACAATTTATTATTAAATTATTGATATCTAACCTGGAGCTGGTTTGATAATTTTTCCAGCATCGGGATTAAGAAAACCTGTTACAAATTCTTTAAATTCTTGTTCCTCATTATTCTTAAAACAATAATTATTAAGTAAATTAAATGTATTGTTAAATATAAACCGATATGGTCAAAGTATTTACTTGAATCAAAAGATTTTTTTCCATAATCGACTCGTCGATATCTAAAAAATTTTTGGACAACATATTCAGAAGCTGTAAATATAAATGCTATAAAAATATACCATAAAATCAGTACAGAATTTTTTTAAGACACAGATTTTAACAGTAATAACAATTATAAGTTATAGTTATCAGTTAAAGTTACAACAGAAAAAATTATTATTTTCAACACGGAGTAATATTATGATTAGTGATTTGTGATAACATTTTATCATCCCAGTGAATATCCAAATATTAGATAAAATACTTTAAAAAAATATATAGTATATAAATATAGTATCACAGATTATATGAAAATTTATTTCATGCAAATGATTTATTCGATTATTTTATTATTCGAATTATTTTTTTTTAAATAATCGAATCGTTTCGATTATTCAAATAATCGAAATATTCGATTATTCTATTCGATTATTCCCATCACTTCTATGTAGTAGAGATGTTCCGGGTACCCGGCAATTGCTCGATGGCCAGGTACTCGATATCATATTTAAGCCTCGGCTCTTACTCGGTACCCGGCGTAATATCTACATTTTTACCCGGCATTACTCGGTACCCTGCGTAATACTACATTTTTACTCGACTCATATCCAATGGCAAACGACAATCTATTTATAAATATAGTAATACCTATAATTAACATAACGGGAGAAATCTAAAATTCTAAGGTAATGAATTATAATTTATTTTGGTACTTATTAATTATCATAAGCGTGTGCAGACATAACTGGCAGGGTAGTCAAACATAACACATTATCATTTAATATTAACAAAAAATTTGCATTCGTAACTTCATTTAACTTAAAAACTATATTTCTCCAGTATTCTTACATTTTTTTTAACGTTAACTAATGTTTCGAAGTGGTTGAAAATAATATGTTTATTTATTATTGTGATCATATTGAATATTTTGGTGAGGGTGGGAAGTTTCACAGAATAGTCAAGTACCTACCCTGACTACCCCGTGTGCACGCTTATGTTAATTATTATATTACTTAGAATAACTGAACCGATTTACGATAGCCAGTTGATTATAAACAAATCATGTTTTTCTTCTATGAATTACAAAAATAAATCTCGTGTTTACCGTCTAATGTTTATATATAAATTATATGATAACAATCTGCAATCAAAACCCGTAATAAAATATAAATTATTACTATACAAATATTCTCAAGTATAAGTAATCAGTAATCACTTTACAGTCTAGTAGTTTACACTGCACAGCTAGTACAGTTATAGTACATTCTACCTATTGCTTTTTTTGTTTTAACTTTTTTAAATTCATTCAATGAATCCCATGGACGAGGCCGAGGACGAGAAAGTGCCATTTATCGGTACGTAATACATTTTATATAATTTTAAACTCTATTATTTTTTACATTTGAATTTTTAGTTACAAATTACAATATTCATTCATTATTCAATATTATTATCTATTGAACAAAACTGCACATAGCTATTGCCTAATATCTAAACAACTGGTATTAGTGTTACTTAATTTGTATTTGTGTTTGGCTAAGTTTTGTTATTAATTTATTATAATTGCAGAACTACCTGGTGGTCAGTACCAGTACTGACTACTGAGTGCTTAAACTGTTTAAAGACTTAAATTATATTATTAATAATTTTTAATCAGTAATTGTTAGTTGATACTTTAATACTAGTATAATTCCAATTTTGTATTTACACTTCTACTCGGCCTATACTCGATACCCGGTTTGTATTAAAATTTTTACTCGGCCAATACTCGATACCCACTTGGTACTATAAATTTTACTCGGCCAATACTCGATACTCGGTTAGTATAAACAATTTTACTCGGCCAGTACTCGGTACCCGGCTTAGTACCAGATTTTTTACTCAGAACATCTCTACTATGTAGTATACTATTATATATCTATTATACCCGTATATAAAGCCACGGACTAAGATAATGTACCTTATGTGAACTATAAAAAAATATATATTATAGGTACATAAGGTGTGAAAAATGTTATGATGATATCAGGAAATCTGAATTGTAAGGTATCCCTCCACTTATCTTGAGCTATTTCGACCACTGACTATATCGATAAGATAGAGTAAAGACAATACATTTTAAAATTGTATGATGCAATTTGAAAATATAGCACGGACCAGATAAAAAAGGCTCGCGGGCCGCCAGTTGCACGCCCCTGATTTAGTCAAAGATAGTATGTATCTATTTTTGTAATATAGATTTACGGCCACTTTTCGTGACAATGGTAACCAGTGTTGCTGATGATGTGGTAATTTAATCCACTTGTGGTACATGGTGTGGTATTTTTGAAAAAAAAAATGGCATTAAAGAATTAAATTGCATTATACACTAAAATTAACAAATTTTTTTTTTTTTTTGTTAAATTACCAACGTTGGTTATATAAAATTTCACAGACTTCAGCTGTAAACTGTTCTGTGATAATTTCATAAATTATAATCATAACCATTACCAGTTATCACGTTCACATCATTCGTGGTGTAATCACAACTAGGAACTATCCACCATAGATATATAAATATAATAAAAGCTGCGTCTATATTAAATATTTATATTTTATAATCCAAGTTGTGATAGTTTTCATTTTATTCAAAAAATTTAGTTATAGTTAAGTATAGTAAGTTATTATTTGTTCTTATATATTGTTTATTTGTGGGTGTTGAAGGTTTTGACTTATAGAAGAAAGTGATTTTAATTAAATAACAGTCTTTATTTTAACAATAAATATACAATTTATAATTATTATTGTAAAAGACGGAAAGACGACCAACTGTTGTTTTACTCTCAAATGCCGTACGTGAGCTGATTCCGTCCGCCGAGGCGACGGCCCGCGCCGCCGGCGGCAGCCAGATCGGTTCGGTCGTGTCCTTGTGGACGAGGGACGATAGGGACGCTGTGGTTATTGTGATAACGACCCGGGCATATTTATTCGTCATACAGTAAAAATTTTGATTTATAATTTAAAATACACATTGTTAAATCAAGTAAACAAAAGATAAACATGTAAAAACTGTATGTACCAGATATTGTAGGTAGTAATCAAAGACTTATACAAGTTCTATAAAAAAAAAAAAATATAAATGTGGTAGTAATGTATAAACCTATCTATAGTATATTTAGTATACGATATTAATACTCTCTATCGAACCAAGCGCGTTATATTTCTAAATTCTAATGTGGTATTCAGGATGGTAATATTGATATGGTATATGTGGTAATTTTGTTATCATGAAATGGTAATATGAAATTTTGAATTCAGCAACACTGCCTATAATACCGGAACCCGAACCTTTTAATAAAATAATTGGGAACCGGAACCAAAAAAAAAATGAAAGATACCAGTCCCTGTATGGTATAATACTCTTTCTAAAAATTATGACATTTGTGTTGTCGTTGTTATATCATGCTAGACTTTATCCTATAAGAATAAGCCGAATCTGTTACAATGGAGTTTAATACCGATGCAGTTTATTATATATGAAAAAATTATTTTCAGTATTGGTATAGTATTGGCCAAAAAATATTCTAAATAAATACATTACACGTATCTCTTTGTGGTATCTTGGATACACATTTATTTAATGAATTTAACCGTTTGAAAACCACATTTGAACGTAGCTACTAGTAAAGCGCGGATCAAAGTTTGAACGGGATAATATTTCAAATATATTGAAACATTTTCGAATTTTCGTTTGAACATCTAGCTGGAAAGCAAACATATTCAATCCGAACATTTTGAATCTTCGAAATATTCTTGCGAGGAGTATAGGAGCGGAAGCGACTTTCTATCACGTACGTATTAAATATCCGTAGGGGCACGTGCACAACTTAGCACATTTAAGTCCAGTATACTCGGTCATGCTTCATAATCACATCTAATCGCTTACATTGAATTCCTTGGAATTTGTAAACCTCCAATCGTCTCAATTTTCTACATCTGCACACTAACCAACGGCCTTTATATCAATGTACTGCATTTTTTTTCCTCTCGTTTCATCACATGCTCAAAATATCTCAGTCTATTTTCTCTCTTCTTGTCTACTATAGATACTACTCGATTTTTACCTCTCACATATTCGGTCCTTATTCCATCTTCTCTTGTCACTTCACTCATCCATCTAAGTATTCTCATTTCCACAATACTCATACTCTAATCTATTATCCTGTCAACTACTCAACACTCTAGGTCAATATAGCATAGTTGGTCTCATTACACTCCTGTATATTTTACCTTTCAGCCTCATTGGAATTTTATTATATTATAAGATAATCTCTTATTGAATAAAACGCCCGGCGTTTCACTTCTTTTCATCCAACCGCTTTTTAATCCTATGTTTTATCTCCATGCCAAAACCCCCGCCTTATTGTACAAATGATCAATATATTTATTTAAAGAATATTTATAAATCTCGACTTCACCTATAACATCACCACTTATTGTTATTGGTCTCCTCATACCCTCAATTTCTTGGTATCTTCCTCCAAAATCATACTGTATATACTCTGTTTTATTTCTACTAATTTTCAATCCCTTTCCTTCAAGAGCTGACCTCCACTCATCCAATCTATTATTAATTTTTGCTAGATTTCCTTCTACCAAAACTATATAATCAGCAAACATCTATACACCATGGTATCTCGCCCTGTATGTATGTCATAATTTCAATCTTTACCACAGAGAACAATTAAGGGCTTTGAGCCGTCCTCTGAGGCACACCTACTCCAACGTTAATATTTTCTGTTACTCCACATAAACTTTTTACCCTAGTTCTCGAACTTTCTTACATATCTTGAATTTCAGACATTTGAAATATTTCATTTTTTTAAATTTCGTGAAATTTTCAAACACTAATCGTGCCCGATGTACAGATTACATCACAGATATGCCATAACAGTCGTTTAACTCGACCGTGAGTAAGTTACGTTCTTGAAAAATCGCAACGCAATGATTTCGGTGCTGACTCGACACTTGACGGAAATGTCCTTCAACGCGTCACGCGCAGACACTCCGTGGCAAGCGAAGTGATCCCGGATCGGAGTAATGTTCTCTCAACATCAAGTGACGTTGCTCGGGAATAGGTCACCGAACTACAGTTTTGCTGAACGGTTCGTCATCAGTGC